TGGAAAAATGTAGCTTTCGATAAATTTTACCACGCTAGACTACTATATTATGATATTATATTATATACCTATTATATTATTTATTATATTATATATTATACTATATATTATATATATTATTGCATGCATTGTATACTTCTGTTGTGTATGCATACAAGGCTTGATTCGATCTTGTGCACAAATTCGCGTTAATTCAATAATGATTTTCATATAATCCGTAGAAAAAACTTTGAAATATATATTTTTAATTAAATACAAGTAGTTTTTGGGAGAACTTTCATAGACGCTCCAACAACAACTGCAATGTTTACAAAAATCTATCAGTTCTCATGAGAAATTTTCGAAATGGGAACTTCACCATTCTTACATTATAATCTATTATTCATTTTCGGAACTTGTGTGCTTAAAGTAATATATATAAGTAATGCGAGTGCAAATTCACAATATCCATTGAGTCGTGATAATTCAAAAGTGATTTTTGGTGTCGGGATCATAAGGCGTTGACGACTGAAATTGGTTGAAAAACTGAAATCAAAACTAATTTCAAGCAATTTTATTCGTGAGCTAAAATTTGAATTAATTAATTTTCAAAACTGAAGATGATAAATTTGGTTAAGGAAAACTCATCAGGTATAATAAATACGACTAAGTAATTCCAATCGAAATCATAAATTATTCAGGAGATAATATTTCTCATTGCATAATATTAAAAAAAGTTAAGGTTATTCGATCATCAATTGATAATTTTAGAATTTAAATAAGATAATTTTTTAACTTTGAAATTTTGATTTCTTTTAGAAAATTTCAAAAATTTAAAATTTTTTTTGCAATTTTTTGGGAAAATTATCACTTTGATCCAGCAAAAAGCCTGTTTCAAAACACTCACCACACTTTGAGCTTAGAAGCTCAGTATGGTCAGTTTTATTATTCGGTTTCAATTATTATATGCATCCTGACTATGATAGGTTCCTTCGTGGTAAAATTTTGGATTACGACTCAAACTTCGAACTAGTGACATTTTTTTCGAAAAGCTTATCTTTCCTTTTTACTATCCTTTCAAGTTAAATATTACTAATTTTAGGCTTAAATTCGCCTATTATAACAAATCTACCATTCAATGTGCAGAAGTAGAATTTAATAAAAATTTTCCGCTAGACTTGCTTCCATCGGAAATTCTGATCTCTAATAAAATTCTCTGATCTTTGACCGGAAGTCTTAACAGAAATTTTTTTTCAAAAGTCAACGCGCGGTTGATTTCTAAAAGCTTTTTTTAAAAAATGACAAAAAGGATAAGAAATAATCTTCTGCAGATGTCTTTCAAAGACGTATTTCATTTTTATTTATTTCTATTTTGAAGGTTTCTTCGAATTGGCCTGCGTTGAAAACGTGCACTCGAGGCTGAAGCCTCGTGCGACGATCCATGAAATCTAAAGAATGATTTTTATACGAAAGTTTTTACCTTTCAATTCATTGCCTTTAATGGTAAGAGAGTGGCAGGTCTACCATGAAATGTTAGATATGATCGGAATCATTTCGTGATCATATTTTCGTGAATTATTGCCTTATCATTCATGAAAGTTTTAGAATTCTTATTTTATGCCTGATAAAACGGCAAAAGAAATATTACGGTATTTGTACGATATTTCAGCCGGAATATAATAGGAACAATAAATAAAAGACGAAATAAATGCATAAATAATATTGGAAGATATTTATTGTGCTTGTTATTTCTTGTCGTTACGAGTTTTTATTCTTTACTTTATTTCTACTATTTCTGCCGAATTATTTATCTTTTTAATTTACAACGTTTGCTTAAAACCATTCTGATAAAAATATAGAATTGAATAGATCTGAATTACTGCAATTTGAACCAGATTGACTGTTACGATTTGTATTTAAAATTTTGCTAATTAGATGGTTGAATTTGCATGACAAATGATATCAAAATGGCACTTAATTAGTATTAATTATAATATTGTATATATAGTAATTATATTATTATATTTATATTATTTGAAACGGAAATGAAAACCATACTGAATTGTTGTATGAATAACGTTGAATATTAAAGACAATAGTAAACTTCAGAATATTATGAATTTTTCCGGAACTCATTCTCTAGTTAAAAACAAGTGTTAATTGATGAAGCTCAACGTGCATTGACTTGCATCTCATTCAGCACGTTCTACTCGACTCTGTATTGATACCTTTAGTACATATAAAGTTTCATGAAGTGCTGTAAATACCAACTGTACAATAACCGAGAAGAGTTGGTGTGTACTGCATACAATGGTTTCTCTCTGCATGCCACACAATACACATACTACACACACACACACAGATCAGGTATCTTCAATACAATGCGCTTTGCCACAGTATACGCTGCCTCGGTCATTGCCACACCTCAGACTTTCTGGCATTTTTGAGCGTTAGGAAAAAATCTGCTCATTAGATTTACCAAGAAGAATTTTCGTTGTTTCATTTAATCAATTTTTCCCTATTCATTTTATAATTTTCGAGGATATCAATATATATTTTATTCCAAAATACATCGATTTTTTTCTTATTCTTCGTCAGTGTTTAATTAGCCTATTGTATTTTATTGTAGACATTATTAGGTCAATATCATGTTTATATGCATTCCTCAGGAGCGTATATGTAAAGCGAGCTTGAAAATGTACAATATATCAGCAGATGTCACATGTATAGCGAGCTTAATCATGTAGTGTTGTTGGCGTGTTTTAAATAAAGAAAATATTAGATATGATGTTTAATTTCGCCAACTTATAAATTTTTAGAGATTTTGAAGACCAGGGATACAAACCTACGTTTTATTCTTCTGAACGTAGATGCAGGTCTTATAAGCATTTAAAAATTGCACTGCAGAGCGCGGTATTTTTGTACACTTCTTGAATCCTAACGTAATAGATACTGTGTTTCTTTAACGTTGTCCTCGGCAAAAGTGCGTTTTTATTGTGAATGCGGGCAACCTACCACGACTCATAAAAGGAAGAAGGAAGGCACTTCCCCTAGAAATTTTTTGTTCACTTCCTCACAATGGGAGGCAACGCGTACAATTCCTGGCATGGAATGACTGGAATTGCAGGGGTTCTTTGGAACGTGCTTGTCTAACAATGGGAATTACAATGGGAATCATAGAAGACTGTGCACAAGCGGCGGTAACGAACGCACTTGGAGGTCAACGACGATCAATTGTTGTTCATACATAAAGTGACTTGCCTTTTGTAAATTTCTTGCCAATTTTTACCGTTTTACCAAAGATCTCTACAAGCAATATGGCTCATCCAGCGTTCTTCTTTTGAAGATTGAGATTTATGTACTTCTTGAAGCATGCATCTGTAGTTCATGAAGATTGCCCACCCTTGAACGCGGATAAATTTAGTTGATAAATTGATCCATTCAACGATCATCTATTTGAAGACGAATTCAGTGAATAATAAGATTTTGATGAAAATCGAGACTGCAACTTTGAAGAATGAAAAGGCAATTTTTCTTATGTTAATTGAGACTTTCAATTTCGTGCATTTCCCGAGATTGACTGAATTAATAACTTTCACTTAAGATACAATTGCATTTTTTTCTTGATCGGTTGAACTTAAAAGGGAACTATCGTTTTTCCCTTTTTTAAAACAGTAAAATACAATGTAAAAAGTGTAATCTAGCAATATGAACACAGAAAATCTTGATATCTTTAATTTTAACTATGTTTCCCGTAAGTTTTACGAGATCATTCTGATTATGAGGAAGCAATGTAAAAAATGATAATTTTGGTAGTTAATCTAGAGAAATTTTCCTCTGGCAATTTCGAGTTTAGACAAACGAACCATCGGCTCAGTTTTGGACAAACCTTTGTCGCATGTGGTCAATTTGGCTGAGCTGATTCATATTAATTGTGTTTCCATTTATTCGCGTGAGCCAACTTGGTTTTGTCTCGAATTTAATGATGCTATTTTTCAAGTTCTAAATATTTAATCTTTTAACTACGACAGTTGAGCTTTTCTATCGTGCTAATGTGTCGGGGTTAATTAATTCAGGTTTCGAGGTGTTATAATCTTTTCTCGAAGGTTAGATTTTGAAATCTGTTAAGATTCGGACAGGCATTACGAAGTTCGCATCCATACTGTCAAATGAATCCGTCAATTACTTGTGTTATTCAAAATTTGAACCTAGCCTATGCATTTGCCTATGCGTTATTCAAAATTTGAACCTAGCCTATGCATTTGCCTATGCGTTATTCAAAATTTGAACCTAGCCTATGCATTTGCCTATGCGTTATTCAAATTTTGAACCTAGCCTATGCTAGAATTCCAATTATTTATAAGTTCACTTTGGAATTGATTGTCAACATTTGTGCCCTTTCGTTATAGATTAAAAGTGTTGCTAGTACGTTTTAATTTACGTTACAGATTAACCTTACTTTACCGCAGCCAGACCAGAGAACTAGTCGGGTATTAAACTAGCTAATAAATTATCTGGGTGGAATTATGGAGGGGCAATATATCTGTAGGTTCATTAGTTCCATCAGTTCAAATAAATAGAACTAACTTCCCTTTCTTAATAAACTTTTTGTCAATAATTTGAAACTGAGTAATTAACGAGGCTGTATCTACCTGTAATATATGAATTACCATTCTTAGAATTACACATAGAAGTAGCTATGCATCCGTAAGATAAATTAGTTAGTTTTGAAGAATTGTTGATTTAGAGCTCGGTAATGTTAATGGTTTACTAAAATATTCTTTTGCGTACATTTATTACGTATGAATAACTAAATATTTTATGTTCGTCGCACCAGCATTTCAACTCCTTATGTCCGTCGGCCGGTAGCTGCTATACGAGGACTCTACGGCAAAGGCCGGTGGTAAGTGACTCCGTTCGCCCGGTCCTTTGATCTTTTGGTTCGAGCGTTGCGTGGCGGAGAAGCGCAGGCCACATGGTTTTTTTCCAGATCGGTCTGATAAATTACCTCAGGTTGACCCTCAGCTACTCGAGCTACAACCAAGTCCCGAGACCTGGTTGGTTTTGGAGACCTGGTCTCGGGACTTGGTTTTGGAGACCTGGTCTCGGGACTTGGTTTTGGAGACCTGGTCTCGGGACTTGGTTTTGGAGACCTGGTCTCGGGACTTGGTTTGGTTTTGGAGACCTGGTCTCGGGACTTGGTTCGGGACTTGGTTTTGGAGACCTGGTCTCGGGACTTGGTTTTGGAGACCTGGTCTCGGGACTTGGTTTTGGAGACCTGGTCTCGGGACTTGGTTTGGTTTTGGAGACCTGGTCTCGGGACTTGGTTTGGTTTTGGAGACCTGGTCTCGGGACTTGGTTTGGTTTTGGAGATTTGTATTGGATTTTGGCCTGGATTTGGAGGCCTGGTATTGGGACTTGGGTTTAGCGGGGCCTTGCGTTGAGCGGGTTACTTGGGCTGAGCGGGGACTTGGGTTGAGCGGGGACTTGGGTTGAGCGGGGACTTGGGTGGAGCGGGGACTTGGGTTGAGCGGGGACTTGGGTTGAGCGGGGACTTGGGTTGAGCGGGGACTTGGGTTGTGCGGGGACTTGGGTTGTGCGGGGACAGGGACTTGGGTTGTGTGCTGGGACTTGGGTTGTGTGCTGGGACTTGGGTTGTGCGCGGGGACTTGGGTTGTGCGCGGGGACTTGGGTTGTGCGCGGGGACTTGGGTTGTGCGCGGAGACTTGGGTTGTGCGCGGAGACTTGGGTTGTGCGCGGAGTCTTGGGTTGTGCGTGGGGACTTGGGTTGTGTGCGGGGACTTAAGAATGGGGGTTCTCGAGTCGCAGTTTGTGGCAGATCCTGAAGACTTACTAAATTGTTCACAAATTCGTCAAAAAATTTCCGATAAAGAATCGTGAACTATTAGTATATTCTTCACCTACTCCTGTGATGCTAATTTGGCCTACGCCAAAATGAACGCTCAGAAGTGATGCCTATGCGGTCTGAGGAAGCAGTGACAACATGGGTTCGATTCAATGGAATTGACTACGTATTGGACCATCGCAACGCGTAACTACTGTCGAAGCTCGACGTAACAGGTCAGGGCATGAAGTGGTTTCTTGGTCGATGAGGTCAAGATAACTCTTCGAATACCTGAAGATAATGTTCGACCAAGGTGCTTTCAGGTCCAGTCCAATCCACGTGAAGGTCAACTAATGTGCTGTGTCAAGTTCAATATTCTTTAATGCATTTTTTCAGAAGCATTCACACCAGCCGTGTCATGCCTATGGTTTAGAATGGGCATGGAATGCATCAAATAAAATTTGACTGGACCGTGACTGGCCATGTCTGGCAGGTGCCCGGCAACATGGTGGGAACCCAGGGTGGGTTCCAACCATGTTGCCGGGCACCTACCAGATGATCTACCATGCCAACGATGATCTACTGGACAGCTGCTGGAGCTGTAGATAATTTGTAACTGGCAAGCATCGGAGGACATCGAGAAACCGGGAACTGTCATTCGAACGAGTAATCGAGGGTCAACCTGAGGTAATTTATCAGACCAATCTGGAAAAAAACCATGTGGCCTGCGCTTCTCCGCCACGCAACGCTCGAACCAAAAGATCAAAGGATCGGGCGAACGGAGTCACTTAAACCACCGGCCTTTGCCGTCGGGTCCTCGTACAGCAGCTACCGGCCGACGGACATAAGGAGCTGGGATGCTGGTGCGACGAACATTTCATACAAGATGCGGATCCAGCGGATTCGTCACCAGGTCGAATAGCGCATTTCCAACGTCAGTCGGAGTTTTTCAACAAAGTGTCGATGAATGAATAACGGAGCGACTGTTGCCAAGCCTCCAAGCCCGGCTTTCCTATTAAAATTCAGTTCGGGATCAATGTAACTAAGCCAGTAGTACTAGCTACAGATGGTGACCTTTAGTCAAACAACTACTTATACCATCATTGTATTTACGAAGAATTTAGGCGCGAAGCATTTTTGTTCACAAAGCAAGTGCACAAAGAATTTGAAAGCGAGGAAAACGCCGAATAAATTCATCATGTACTTGTACTTGATTGTACTTGCATTCAACATATTTACTTTAACTGTTCGAACTGTTCTACGAAACGTTTTCAATGACGACTTGGTGAATTTCCTTGGCATTTCTTTGCTTTTAAATTCTTGCTCTATAAACTACTGCTACCGTGACGTATTTATACTGTTTGCCGTTTTCATCGTAAGTACATACGATAGTTTGCGAGTGTCAGAGTTCAGTGTCGAGTGTTCAGAGAATCTTTGTGATCAACCCTCTACCGCCGTATGTCACTCTCCGGGAACATAACTTTCAACTTAAATTATACGTAAACTATTGAGTGTAGCAACCTGAGGACGTTTGTACGCAACAGAGAACATTTTAAAGTTGTCGTACGTGGCGGCAAATTATACGTAAACTATTGAGTGTAGCAAGCTGAGGACGTTTGTACGCAACAGAGAACATTTTAAAGTTGTCGTACGTGGCGGCAACCATCAGTGTAAGTTATTTTGCGCTCACTAGAACGTATCCTTTTTGGGAAGTAGGCGCGTGACAATATTACTCCGGTTACTCATGTCTGGCGGTAGAGAGTTAAGTTCCAATGTATCTATTTCTGTGCTTAATTAAGTCCTGTTGTATGATTGGTTATTAACAATAATCACTATTTACGGAGTCTAATGTTCGGGTGTAAAAAGTTGGATCAGTCATCGCGGTGTTCCCAAATTTGTGGCGTTTGCCGGAACTAGTCCTGAGCATGCTGGAGGTGCCACCGTCGACTTCCGAATATGCTTTTTATCGTATTTATAAATATATTTACATGGGTCCTCAAAGCATAATTCGTGATAAACTAATTGATAATAAACGTAATTCGTCTTGCGATAGATTTCCGCGATTTAGTCTTGAAATGAATCCATCCAGTTTTACTTGTGCAAATTTGACATTCCAGGATTATTCCGAGACGTTTGGTTACAAAAAATGTATAGGTACGACGAGCTTTCATTTCAATGAAATTGTTCATTAGTTGAATGCTACAGTCATTAAGACTTCTCGTAATAACGGATGATCGAATAATGTAGCAGGGATTTACTATAGAGTAATAATACTTATTTGTGGACACCCGTTTATTATTACAATTATTTATTATTAATATTTATTTGAATGACTTCCGCTATTGCGTATGGTATAAAATATATTTTTAACAGATATTCCATAGCTGTTTGATGGGTTGTAGCTTGTTAACATTTTCTAGGTATTTATTGTATTCTCGAACAATTTTTTTTAAACTGTGATGTAAATGATAGGAAATGTGTACTTTATAACTTGCGAAACAGCAGTTGATGTTGCAGCCAAGAGCGTGATTGGACATTGTTCTCGGCTTTCTGCAGGGCATCTTGGGTAACTCAATCAAGATTTTCTCGTGTCACTTGGAAACTATAACGTTTTAATGTTAACTTTTTCTCTTTTCTGCATTTTCAAGAAGTATTCTCCGTCAGCACCCAGAAATATAATTTCGTAAAAAGCCATACGTAACTACCTAAACATTTATAAAGCTGTATGTTAATTAAAGATATTAATGCTTTCAAATTAATTATTTAACGACCTTTACCAATGAAAATACCCTACTTAAAGGGCAGGACCCAGCGTCTATATAAATGCTAAAGTATAGTGTAAGAACTTCGATAAATGGCGAATATTTACAGATTGTTTCAATATATTTATTCATACCGTCAATCGTAAATCATGAATGACATGAACTGGGCGGTCAGTAACTTCTTTACGCAAGTCGGTCTTATGTGAACTCGGCACTTTGGTATTTTTCTCACAAGCGTCGGGAATTGTAGAATTCTGAAATTATAATTGTAGCTTTTGGAAGCCTCAACGAACGTTCAAAATGTTGTCTGATCTATCCGACAATGATCGTTATCTTATAGATGTGTGGGGTCTCGTATGTAATTCACTTTCAGAGCCTACGTCGGCTGACTAGAACGTTTTTTTTCTGCAGTTAGGCGTTATACAACATTTGTAATGTTCTAGAACATTCTAGATTATTCTTACATATTCCACACATTATTCGATTAATCTTCAGGCATAATAGAATTGTACAGTAGCAAATGGAATCTTCTAGATCATTGATAATCTTCTAGAAAGTTCTAGAACATTCTAGAATATTCTTGCATATTCCACACATTACTCGATCAATATTATTTATAATTTTCTAGAAAGTTCTAGAACATTCTAGAATATTCTTGCATATTCCCCACATTACTCGATCAAGATTATTCATAATTTTCTAGAAAGTTCTAGAACATTCTAGAATATTCTTGCGTATTCCACACATTACTCGATCAAGATTATTTATAATTTTCTAGAACATTCTAGAATTGTACGAAATCGAAGAAGTCCTTCGAGAATTTTTACGTCGTTTCAGAGATGCACTAAAGTCCTAAAAATTCAACCTGTCGGGAAACTTCAGATTCCTTCTACCTAAATTCGACAACAGGGTAAAACTTACTCAAATAATTTATGCTAAAATGAAATTTGGGGCTCATATGAAATGCCAGTACTTTAGGCTACTTGCAACATTAAAGAAATTTGAGCGAGAAAGGAAAATGAAAGGCACTCGCTAGGTCACGGAAAGCATTTATTCGAAACGATGCCGAGTGACAAGAGATTTGAACAAAGGTTGAAAATTGTGTGGAGGCAAAGCAATATATAATTATCCTTTTAATCATAAGGCTTGTTGTTAGGTAAATAACGTTGAAACATCCAATATTTTAATAAATCAAAATAAGATAGAATAAAACTGGTGTGAAAAGCGAGAAAAGGACAATGTGTGCTACGAAGTCATCCGAATTACCATCAATAATTGTAGTTACATTCAAATGTTAGTTCCGTTGAACATAGTATATTCATTCAACTATCGACATAGTTGTTTCCTTTGTAACGCCTAAAATGTTGTAATTATGAAAGAAAATGAAAAGTTATCCTGATAAAGTTGCGCTAAAACAAATACGTGTTGCCCAGGGAAAAAACCTATTCAGATAGGAAAAAAATATTTATAAGACTCAGGTTCATCAATAATAAGGTAACGAAGAAAGGTGTAAATAGGACATAAGTGACGGTCTAGGCCACGATTGCGGTAGTAAATGTAAAATGTAATCTGAGCAAGCACAAGGAGATTGTGTATAAATTTGAATATATAGAAAATGAAGAGCGGTAAAGATGGCAATGCAGAACAAGGACATGAAACCTACTAGTATTTTTATCCTCGTATTATATACACGCAGTGTAGGGTTACTTTAGACAAGATAGAAGCTACCAGTGAAATGACTACGGATAAATCGGCCAAGATGGAAGCGATAACATCTCGGTAAGCACATTCAATACAATAAAGCTAATATACGGTTAAATTATTCTCCTTCACAGGTTTCCTCTTCAGACAAGTAATTTAAGTCAAATTCATCGATAATTGACAGATATTCTAACCAATTAATGGTACTTACATCTAAACCTTAGAAGACACTTTCTGTTTTATTTTGAACGCTCAAAGAAGAAAATGTTCAAAATTTCAGACGAGTGCGTACAGCGATATTATGCTAGAGCGTGAAACGATAGTCTAGCGTAACTAGCAATACTAGAAATAGAGCTAACATTATTATAACCTAAACCTCCAAATGAACAGCAAGTGCAGTTATTCGAACTATCTTGTATGGTAGAAATTCTGCTCATGATCAAACGATCTACACATACTACATAGCGATATTATAAGTTCAGGCAGCTTTCATATAGATACTTAGAAGTGAATAGATTATATTACACAATCGCCTGCCATGCCCAATTTGCCTCTAATAAATATAATTAATCGAATTATCTATAAAAGGAAAAATCTCACCCAATTACACAGTTAATTATCGCGCACCAATTTTATACACTTAACAAGGGATACTCCTATAATACGGTGCCAAAAATAAGATAAAATTAATTAAATTTAATCTCTCATTAAAACACCATAAAATCTTTTGAATATTTTGATCGCGTGCAGAGCGCTTGCTTGCAAATTCCTAAATTCTGAAATAGCGTCATTTTTTAAGACGAAAAATATTGTAATGCAAGCCTAATTTTTCATGTTGGTCGCTCCACCTTCAGTTGATTCTTCTAATTTTGACTCGGAAACTTTTTCTACAAATGAAAAGCAATTATCAACGCTAGGCTTGTCTAGAACATTCACTGCTCCGGTCGTTATTTCGACATCATTTTTTGCTCGTTCGGGCATGTTTTCGTGGCTTGAATCTTGACTTATGAGGTCCGGGGATCTTTCCATCCCTTCTCTATCACTGATTTTGAATGATTCTATTTCTTCGACATCATCTAGAAATGTGCCCTCAGCCTTGTCAGATGACTTTTTATCCTCATCCTCATCATCATCATCATCATCAGAATGGTAACTGTAGTCGCAATCATCAGACACGGAAACAGCCGGTATTTCAGCAACATTATCCGCGAAATGTACAATCCTCTGTACATTTCTTTCATCATCGGCAGTTCCTTCTGAGTCGTCATCGTATTCTACAATGAAATCATGCGCGTGTTCTACTAGCGAAGCGTCAGTTTCAAGCCCGAAATCAGCCGTGTTTTTTTCTACCAAAGCAGGATCTTCTTCAACCGAAACAGCTGCGGGATTCACAACAACAATATCTTCATCTCCTACGTCAATAGCTGCCGCGTTTTCTATCACAACAAAATCGTTATCGGATTGAAGGTCGACGTCGGTGTCGAGTGCAAATGGATTTTCGGATACATCCTCGTCGGACGAAAGCTGATGCGACAAAGACTCTTCTACACACTCAGATAGACTATGATCATGTTTTTCTTCATCATCTTCTACTTTTTCGTCACCTTCTACCTCTTCGTCACCTTCTACCCTTTCGACACCTTCTAGCTCTTCGACACCTTCTAGCTCTTCGACACCTTCTACCTCTTCGACACCTTCTACCTCTTCGACACCTTCTACCTCTTCGACACCATCTACCTCTTCGACACCTTCTACCTCTTCGTCACCATCTACCTCTTCAACACCTTCTACCTCTTCTTCGGAATCGGATGTTGGAGACTCGCGCCCGTCATCGCCTACTTGTTCTCTTTCTTGCCTTCTGCACAAACGAAAAATTTGTTAGATATATAAAAGGAAATCGACAAATAGAAAATAGGTAGAAAAGACATAGATACTACAAAGCATATCGGTTGCTGCTCTTCCTATCTACAAATACATCTGCATGCGCAGATATCAATTTTACTGTATAAAGTAGAAGCTACATTTTCAAACATCGCAGTATACTAAATTGAAAGCATAGTGTCACTGCAAGCTAATTTAATGAAAGCAGATGAAAATAGCCGCGTATATCGCAACAAAGATGAAACAAATATTTTAAAAACATTTATCTAGATCGTGTTTTGATACAAGCTGACGTGTTGGGGTACAGAGGATCAAATTTATATTTTTAGGGTGGAAGGCAAGTTTTTTACGTCTACTTGAAATTAAAACTGACAACAATGTAACTTGCACACGAATTCTAAGAGGGATAAGAGTGAATAATTTTAATCAAATCGTGCATGCTGTCAGATATTTAAATCATGTAAAAATTTCATCGGTATTTAAATCAGATCATTTACACAACAAAAGCATGCACATTTATGAAGCAGCTTTTCTATGATGAATTCAACAACCATAATATATCTAAATATATTTCTTTCAACACAAATTGGAGACAGATTTGATTCTGCATTAAACATCGGTCATCATTTGCAGCCTCGCCATTTGAAAAATATACTGATAATTTATAGTTTAATATTTGAAATTTTCAAATAGTGATGCCGGTTTTTTGGAATGTTTCAAGCATACCAGCCTATTAAAATTTCGAGTCGAAATATAATTTGGACTTACCATGCATTGTCGTACAACAATAATTTCATTGCCAATTCAAATTAATGAATCAACATTGAAAATCTAAACTTAAGTGTCTTCAAATTCCGAGTGTAAATGAGTGACATGATTTCAGTTAGCGGATTTTGATACGAATTTAAAGGTAAACAATAATTTTTTCGCGTATGCTTTTATATGTTAAAACTTATTTCGAAACTAATCAAATACTAACTAGGGTTTATAGTTTAAAAGTATATTATAAGGACCTAGACTTTCGCCTTGGATCTTACTATCAGCTAGTTCTTAACTACTAAACATTGATATCAATCTCTATTTCTTAGCCGGTCGAGATAAATGTAATAAATATATAACATGTTTTCGTCTGTCTCCAACCATGCCACCTCTACCTTGCCACACTGCCACCCCTACCCTGCCACACTGCCACCCCTACCCTGCCACACTGCCACCCCTACCCTGTCAGTAGACTGTCATCCCAGTCGGGCTCGTGCGTATAATCATCCTGGAGTTGTGCGTAGGGATTGCAGAACATCAAATTATCAGCATCTACAAAAATCAAAACAAAACACAAGCACATAAATAAAACAGAAAATTCAATCAAATCAAAAACAAAATCACATGTTAAAAAACAAAATCCAATAAAAAAATCAAATAAATAAAAAAATAAAAAATCAAATCAAAACAAAACACAAGCACATGAATAAAACAGAATATTCAACAAAAGCGTAAAAGAGTTAATAAAAATAACTAAAAAAAACAGCCAATGACAGCAAAACTGAAAACGCACACAAGCTAAATAAATAAAATATTATTGGGGTTTGAGCACATAACGTAAGAAGAAAATTAAATGATTAAAAGAATAGGAAAGAAAGACGAAACAGAAAAAATGAGTGGTAGGAATGATAGTCTATACTTGCAACACTTACTGTAGAAATCCAAAAACAAATACATAACTAATATAAACGGTTTAAAAATCTGTTGAAAGTTCTGAATGCTAGTGAAGACTGGATTATGTGTTACTGCGCTAAACTATCTATTACGAAATCTGTTATAGTAAAATACTCATCGACTTCATCTGTGCATTTTGTGTGGTATATGCATTTTCACAAAGCCTATTAGGAATAATAAACTGTGCCTGAACTCAAATCCAAATTACCTAAACAAATCTGGTTAATAATGAAATCTAATTAGTGTGTCATTTGAAACCGCCACTTAATCACGTACCATGAGCACTTGATCGGGGATATTCATAAATTGTAAATGAAAACCTGAGCTGCCTACATTTTTAACCATAAACTTCTAGTTGACATCGTTTAGATGATAGCACTAACATACAATTGAAAGTGGAAATTTATTGTGTTGTTAACCTACTAACTCAGGATACTTATTTTGGCCAGCGGCCAGTAAGTAATTTGTGAGACTTTAATTTTTAAAAAATTTTTAAATTAAAACCTTGCCTCCAAACTGAGAGCATATCTCGTAAAATGCAGCGCAAAATAGTATTTTAACTTTAAAATGATTGGATCTTTCAGGTTTTACTTATCATAAAATGATTATTGAATGAAATTCATCTCTAAATGATTAATAGGTTCGCAACGTGAGACAAATTTTATTAACTCGACCTATTAAACCTGTATGTTTTCTTCATCAATATTAAATATCCTCATTGAAGATGCGTCTGTCTGTATTGCAAAGCAAAAATATTCAAAGAAAACTCGCAGAAAATATTTGTAACGTGAAATTCAAAATCATGAATGAAGAAAGTTAACACGTTGACTATGATTGCATCATCTTGTACTATTATTTCATTTTTAGTACCGTTTTTAAACAGTTTTGCCAGACGGTAATTTTTTCCGGACTAATTCCGTGATTTAGTTTTTCTCAATAGCGTTGGCCGGCTAAAATTTATGATAGGGGTACTTCCTAATTAAATTTTAAATACTGCAAAAAGAAAATAAATGGAATTTTTATAGCGGAACCTACAATAAACTAGTATACATTGAATTATCGGCCTTTTTTGGCCTTTTTTGTTCTCGGATTTGGCCGATTTTAGGCAACCTGAATTATGTACCACTACGTCCTGGAGAAATACATTTCGTGGTACGCATATGTACCACTTCGTAGTCAACGTATTAAGAGACACAGATAAATCAGAAAGAATAAAGCGCAATAAATCGTAAACTCAAACAAGTAAACAATTGAAAATAATAATCTCTTCGCTGAAAAAAGTTTAAAACGCACACAAAAAAAAATAAATAAGAAAGAATAAAGCACAATAAAAACGTAAACTCAAACATGTAAACAATTGAAGATAATAATATCTTCGATAAAAAAAGTTTAAAACGCACCCACAAAAAAAAAGTAAAAATAAAAATGAGATTAGAAAAAAAATAATAACTCTCACTCTTTTTTGTTTTCTTCTTACTGGTCGTGGCGCTCGTAGGTGCGCCTTCGATGTCTGTTACGCAAATAATAAAAATAAGAAAACATGAAGTGATACACAAAAAATAAATTAATGAATGATAAAAGTTTGCTAAAATTATACAAATTATGATTCAACTAAAAATAAAACAGAATATAATAGAAGAAGTCAACAGAAAATCTTGCGTACAAATGATAAAAATGATAAAAATGAATTGCAGGAACGAATAGCATCCACGTCAAATGATAAGCTACAATAATAGTGGCACTACTGAGAACATGTAATAGCACGAACAAAAAAATTCAAATTTAAAGTTTTTTGAGATTTTTGTTACTTTCGTGCGTCATTTTTCGAGGTCGTAAGATTAGACAGTTTATGGTTTATGAGAAAGTAACGCATTTCCCAAGCTCCTAATTTATAAATGTAATCTAATTCCAACCTGTATAAATATAATTGTTATACCTAATATTAATACACCATGATTCCCATCCAAGTCATCAGCCCGCAAGGTAACTGCAGCAACGTTCTGAATAATAGATTATTTTACCAACATTTATTCGTATCATCATGAGGACTAGTCTGTTGAAAAGTATTTTAAAAATAAATAAAATCATAAAATTGCTTGGAATCAATAATTGCTTTAAAAAAATAGATAACCGGATAATTTCCTTTATGTAATCAGTAAAATTTCTGTTCTGATTCTATCAGTCAACTTTGTAAGAGACTCCTTGTGAAGCCGAATCTGAAATAATGAATGACGACATCGATAGAACAACATTTTAGTCGCTGTGCCTGGAAATAAAATATTAATACGTAGTAATAATAAAAATAAAACAGCTAAGACACCCAGCAACCTGAAACGTAGAAAGGAGTGATCCTTGATCCTGAATTGATATTAATGCTGAATAGAATTTTCGGTTAGCAAATTCAACGGAAAAAAATTTAACTGCGTTCAAATTTAAACAAGTTACCCTCGTTGAAAGCAAGATGAGAATATAAAATAAATTTTAAGATTTTGGACAGCAATAAAAAAGCTAATTGATATACCAAGAAAAAAAAGTGTCGCGCTATAATTTAAAAACCAGCATGGCATAGAGAAATACAATTTTCAGTTAAAGGAAAGTTCAGTGGTTTTATTAAGAGATTTGTTAAGATTACGAGTATTAAGTCAATGAACTTAAAATGTTCCACACATTTAGCACACACAAAAAAAAATCTTACCACATACGGCCGAACGGTTGCTATTTCGAATTATTTGCAGACGTTAAAACACAGAAAATAGTTTAAGGTTTTCCGAGCCACAGCATCATTAACGAGGTGGCAATTGAATTCAACATCGTATTTTCAGCATAATTTGAAAAGTCCACCATATAATTAACGTTGCCAGGCCGCAAGTTAAATTATTTGGCGAAGTACGAAAGTTGAACACACCAATATTACACGGAAGTCAAGATCACATGCACATTCAATAGCAGCTAACGTAACGAATTTACGCACACGAACTTCATCATGCATTTCTTTAGGCTACACGCTACATATACATATCGTAATTCTACACGCTACATTACGATATATGCATGCTATAAATATTCCGACGAATAGCAAGTATAGGGTGCATCATATATCAATAGGGATGCATCATGCAATAATTGATATCAACATCCAGGTTGATTGGCGAAAGTGCAGCAAAGGTCGTTAAGTTCTTTCATGCATTTTCGTGTAATCGACCCAAGAAATGAATGTGTGTCTAAGAATCGTGAAAACGAGTGCTTTCATGATTGAGATGAAGACAATGGCGAAATCAAAGCAATTTATAAAACTAAAGTAAACAGAAAAATTCGACCAAGAAGATTTTCTTCCCAACTAAAGCAATGATTGATCTTCTTTAATTGAGGAATGGCCAAATGAAGAGATGATTTTGGAACTTCTACAAGAGTACAAGCAGTATTGAATAAGAAATGAGTAACAGGAAACAAAATTTATAGTCGATTAGAGAGAAAATTTGACAAAATAAACCGAAAAAATTTAAATACTCGTGGAAGCAAAAGAAATTCAGAGTTTCATAATATTGATAAGATAATATTGAAAAAATAAGTGAAATAAAGACGGAAAATAATGTCAAAGACAGGGTGGGATACGAGTAGCGAGTGCACAGGCTAGCTAAAGAAAGCTTGCCGCGTGAACAAGTGCACAGCAAACGACAAGAAGCGTAGACGCATGGAAATAAGGTACGTGCGGACCAGAGCAATCCGAGTACCTGAGACATCGCTTGGTTCCATCGCGGTTTTGGTGATAATTTTGGTGGTAGTCGAGGAAACGGATGATATACTACCACTATGAATGGTCGGATCTTCGGTAGTGGCTGATTTTTTGCGCACAATAGATTGTGGAGGCGCGAATGCCTGTTGCACCACGGAACCTGAGGCGAGTTCGGAATCTTGAACTTCGAACGTATCCATGTCCGCGGATAGACCTTCCAAGTCGTCCCGCAGAATAGGTTCGCCAGTATCGAGATCTATTTCGACGGTGTGAGTCGACACAACAGTCCTTTTAATAACGCGGGTGACGTTACCGAACTTGTCCCGAGTGACAGTTTCCTCTGTACTTGGTTCAGATAATTTGAATCCTAACTCTTCGGTGTCCTCGGGAGCCACGATCAAACGTCTCTCCACGACCCTCTGGATGTGCACATTTCCCATATCATCCACTTTTTCTTCCTCGGTGACATGTTCTCCTTCGTCAAACTTCTGTATGTACTCTTCCATTATCTGTTTAGCATCTTTGCCACTAAATTTTACCTCTCGAATTTCAGGGGGCATGGCTACGGATCGAGAAATGGTACGAGAAAATCCGGCTTCGGCAGATGGAGCAACGGTTTCGGAGGTCAGCACTTCTCCAGACATCATCATTCGAGTGAAATGTTCTAGCGTTTCCTCGCCGGGCAATTCACCCTCTGGAATGTACATTGAAGCTGTCATAAGATCAACAGCACTCTCATCGGTGCTACCCATTAACGTATTTGAACAGCCACTAGCAAAAGAACTCGACATTACAGAATCATTATCATGATAAGTAGCGTGGGTAGCGAGAGAACTCGTAGGTTCCAAGGAATCAGTACTCCACTCCATCATTCCACCTGGACGAGACAGCATTTCGCTTGCAGAACTTATGTCTCCCTCACGGCCACTCGAATCATCCTTACCTAAGCTATCAACGCTTGTCGCCATAACATCCACACGACTCGGATCTATCGAGTCAGTCGAGACGGCCATGCCATCCAGTTTCTTACGAGTATCTAAAGAATCTACACTAGTTTTCATGAGATCTTTTGGAATGCTTATTTCTAAGCTGTCGACACTAGCAGTCATGCGATCAGTCTTAAACTTATCGAGTGAATCTTGACTAGCGAGCCTACGACCAGTAAAGCCCAACGAAGATGGCTGAGACTTGCACGTTTCTTCAAGAGAATCTGGATCTGGACCAATACTGGGAGATCGATCACTGGAAATTGTTGACCTATCTGCACACACGATGTCTTTTAATCGGACTCCTTGGTAGCTAGCGGTGACCCCTTCAAACTTTTCTACGTTATCTTGTGCCTGCCGAATTATTTCGTCGATTTGAAACATGCGATCAGCGTATTTTTCGTCATCATCGGAAATGGTGCCACAACTCTCAGATTCTGACAATTGGCTCTCATGACCTTCTTCTATCTCGGACAACATTGCGGCCTCATCCATAGCTTTCTTTTCGAGTTGTTCCACATACAGACATTGCTTTTCAAGATTTTCAAACTCTTTTAGTGAACTCAATGACGCAACCGAGACATCATCACCTTGACTGTTTTTACTTTTGGGCCGTTTACCATTCAAAGACTCCTGAGAGCCAGAACTGGAACGTCTAGCAGCAATTTCTAAAGCCATTTCTCTTTCCAGTCTTTCAAATTCCTGAAGTGAGCAGGTAGAAACATCGTCGTGATCTCCACTGCGGGTAAAGAACTTTCTGCCAGCTAGCACATCGTACTCAGGGGTCGAAGACAGCGATGCCGCTTTCGCCAAGGCATTCAAATCGCGTCGCTCGAGGTCTTCTCTTTCTTCCTCAATATCTTCTAGAGGGCCAGCATAAACGTGATCTATAAACTTGGGGGGAGAATATTCTTGACCAGGAGAATCTTGTCCTTTTTCAAATTGCATTTCAAGCCATTTTCTTTGCTCTTCTATTGAAGATTCGTATTGTCCGGCTCGTTCTTCGCTTTCAAGGCTATGTGACTCGGAGCTTGAGTGACTGGCTGTTTCAAGCTTTACTGCTTTGATTGTGTGCGGCAGCATTGGACCAGCGAGTTGACACGCCTTTTCTTCGCCTTCTTCTGGAATGATGGCCATTTCACGAACTCTCTCTTCGTGCAGATACATAGTTTGCTCAAACTCTGATAGATCGACGATATCCTCAAAGCCAACTATCTCGAATGATCCAGGTAATTCGCGACCGGAATCCAAGCAATATTCTCTCCCACGTTCAGAATCAGTAGTGGAAGATTTCGGCGAAGTTACTGATGATTGTGAACTGGCGAGAGATTCTCTACATTCAGCAGTGTCGCTTTCTCTACCAGAATCAGGTCCTTGTTGAGGGAGAGGAGTGCCGTCCGCTGTTATGGTAATATTTGGTACGCCAACATCAGATTCGTCAAATCTATCCTCGTAAGTCATTGAAAATACCGCACTAAAGCGTTGATCGACTTCGGTCATATCCTCAGCTTCATCAGTTGACGTTTGACTAGTTCTTGGAGGACGAACTGAAGACTTTGATCCCGGTTCAGGAGTTTTCGGACGTTCATGTGGTTCTTCGACCGTCAAAGTTCCATCCGTGTCATCAGTTGGAAACTGTAGCTCCAAGCTATCGGAGAATTTTCGGCTTAGTTTCTGGCCATACTGCTGATCAGCTTCAGTATCAAAACATTCATCGCTCAATTCTCTGTCAGGGCCCTCTGTAGGGCCGGTTGGTGCTCCTTCAGCCGCATGCGCAACTTGAGGAATATC